TATCTCCGGCGGCGGGGCCGGTGCGGGGCGGAGTGGGGCGGGGGGAGAGGCAGGCGGGGCGGGGCGGCGCCGGCTGGCGCTTATGATAGCGAGCTCTGGCATCCGCGCGCGACGGGCATGACGGACGAGCGCCCGCGAGAAGAGCCTTTCGTCAGTCGGCGGGACCGGGGCTCCAGGCACCACGCCCCGCGGGGATGGGGAATACACCCAGCTCATTTGCCCCTGTTATAAATCCATTTTACTGCTGCCTGCGCGCGGGGGGGGGGCGGCGGTCGGGTCGCGGGGCATGGGGCATGCAGGCGCCCCAGGCTGGCCCCCCGACGGGCCCCCTTACTCCCCTCCTCCGCCTCGGGCTTTGGGAATGAAGGCGCCGCTTCAGGTAAGCGGAGAAAGATTGAGGTCGAGGGCTATATGTAAAGCTCTGGGAACCGATACGCAACAAGCGATTGGAGAAGCTTAGTTAAAGTCCGTCACTTGTTCTAGAGCGACCACCTTAAGTTCGTTAGTTAATATTTCTTTTATTTTAAAAAGTAGGAGCGAGGGGGAGTGTTTGTTCTTTTAATTAAAAGATTTTTTAAATTTCTTTGGGTTTTTTGTTTTTTCAGATTTGTTTTTGGAAAAAAAAAACAAGGCCCCTTTTTGGGTTAAATTTCTTCCTTCCTTTTTTTGTACTCACCGGTGTTGTCGGGGACGGTGGCGTGCTTGACGAAGGCGACGTCTCCGGCGCCGCTGGCCAGGCAACGGAAGGCACCGGCGTAGCCGTAGAAGGACTCGTGGGGCGTGGAGTTGCACTTGGTGGCGGGGTTGGCTCCGCCTGCGGCAAATACGCACGTGTGTGGGGCGGCCGTTATACACTGTATGGCGTACGATATTTTGTGCATGTTTGATCTAAAGATATTCCAGGTGCTCGTATGTTAATTATGGTAGTAATAAAATTTACAGCTCCTATGACGCATACTGCCATTGTTTAAGAGTGCCGTTGTTCGGATTGGTATCCCCGTGAACGCCTGAAAGCAAACTTGAGTGTATCTCCCAAAAAACTGTGTAGGGTAGTAGTCATCTCTGAGGATGTCGAGTTCCCCTCATTGGAGAGTTGCCCTTCTTGCCTGAATCCCTGCCCAACTAAAAACCTTCCAAATGAACCAGGTGGACTGAGATCCCCCTTCACCTCCCCCTCCCCCCTGCTTCTTTCCACCCCTGCACCCTTTTTGGTACTAACAACTGGCAACTTTTTGGTACTGGATATATCCAAGAAAATAGGAAACTGGGTGGCACATCCAATTTACCGCCAGCTCTTATTTTGTGAGGCTGAGGAGAATAAAGAATTACGGAGTAATGAAAATTATGAATTTGGATTTTGGTAAATTACATCTCATTGTTTCCTTTTCAGGACAATTAACGATTGAGAATGTGACACAAAATTATTCGGAATTTAGAATTAGAAAACACTATTTATTTATTGAAAAATCTAAGAATTGCAAGAGGGGGTTTGGACCTCCCTGACCACGCCTCCCCCCTCCCACCTCTGGGCAAGGCCTAACAGAGGTCCTAGGTTCTCCTGCAGGGCTCCTGTCATAGTGAAAGACGGCTATCCAAAATTAACTGCTTCGACTCGAAAGTTCAGTGGCACGTGCGCTGGTGTTTTGAATGCAAATAGTCGCGCCGCTGCGGAGCTATAAACGAATACGTATTTATTTGTTCCGTAAACTCTTCTGAAATATTCCAGAAGAAATTGCCTCTGGAAATATGTAAGCGCGATAGATTACGTCAACTTGAGAAGCACATGCTATTTTATGTTTTGTAAATACTGTAGCATCATTCACCCTTAATCATTTGAAAATATGAAAACTCTAAATAGCCCATCTATTATCTTTGAATTATAATTAAAATTACATTACTCTACGGCTCCATTTTAAAATTATAAACACTTCTGATAATTAAACCCCTAAAATGGAAACGTATGAAGTTGCACTCTGACCCGCCATTAATGGAAGTGTAATTATCTCCATAAATATACAATATGTTTTTAAAGATACTCACACACGTAAATGTTAAGGCAATTGCAAGACATAATATTGGCAGATAAAATAACGTAATATCTAAATAATTATACATCGTGCACAAACGTCACAGTCAGTACATAAAAAAGTTAAATGGGGTAACTCTTTCGATAGTTTTCGCAGTTCACACAATGTTTACAACTTAAAAAAACATTTCTAGGTATTGTCGTTGATATTGGTTTTGACAGGTGCCGCAGGTTTTCGTCAGATTTAAAGAAAATGTAAATAGGTAAATGAAAAAAAAAAAAGGTGTATGATTGTATATGGCTCGTGGCTATTGGTCAGCATGCTCGCTTTCCAAGACGCAGTCCCGGGTTCGATTCCGGCCAAGCCAAAAGTACGTGTGCGTTTTCCTTGCAAAGTCCCAGTATATGTTGATATGTGACGATGAGAAAATTCACTTCTCCGGTTGCGAAGACCGGAATACGGCGTGGGGATGTCTACGCGCAAACCACGTACCCCAAGGCCCATGGCTGCGAGGCAGAGACGTCGCCGGTAGGCCTGTGCCCGTTCATGGGCTGTCGCGCCAAGTACACACATACATACGATTTTATATAGATTATGTTTGTTGTGAAAGTTGGACATCAAATTACTGGACTATGTTTTTTTTTTAATTGTAAATTAGGTATTTTGTTTTGCTAAATAAAAAATTAAATGAAAAAAAAATGGAATGGAACGAAATGGAATGGAACGAAATGGAATGGAACGAAATGGAATGGAACGAAATGGAATGGAACGAAGTGGAATGGAACGAAGTGGAATGGAACGAAGTGGAATGGAACGAAGTGGAATGGAACGAAGTGGAATAGAATGGAATGGAACTAAAAGGAACGGAATGCAATGCAATGGAATGCGGTGTTTGGCTGGCCGCGTGCTCACCTGCGGCGTCGAGGTCCCCGGCGCAGAGGTCGCACAGGCGCTGCGGGTTGAGGCCGGCCGGGTTGTTCTCGGAGCTAAGGGCCCCGGGCACGCAGCTGCCTCCGGAGAAGAACTCGCCCACCGCTTTGGCGTAGGGGCACGTGCCCGACGGCAGCAGGCCCGCCCGCAGCAGCGCGTACACGGGCACGTTCCACCCTGCGGACACGCGCGCCACGCTCACGCTCACGTTCACGTTCCGCAGCCCAAGCGCGCGTGCGCACACGCACACGCGGCCTCTGCGGCTGACGCCAGCGTCTACACGCCGGGCGATCTTTCTTTGACAGCCAGACAGCACGTGGCGCAGTGATGCCAAACGCAGAAGCTCTTACTTTCTACTCGATACGGTGAGGTATCTTCGTAACGGACGGACAGACACATACATATAATTTGAAAACAATCGACGATAATAGTTACGTGTCATCTGCATAACTTAAGTATATAATTATCTAACTTACAGAAGGTCATATTCACTGGAGCGAATAATTTATTAATAATTGTAATTTTGAATTCAATTGATTGTTTACGTAAGTTGCTAGTTCCATCGTCTTCTTCAAATAAGTTTGTTTCCAGACTAGATTAATACGTAATATATTTTTATTTCAGAATTGTATTCACTTAAAGTTATTTTTTTTTTAAATCTTCTGTATTGGACCAGTTTTAATACGTCTTATCGCAATGGATAGTCACGAAACTTAATAATCTACGCATCCCACTTTCTTTACTTTCCAAGATATGTTTCATCATTTTTAACTGATTGGCCAAAAGACTTTACAGGAGATAATAATTCCTGAACGAAAGTAGATTTTCATGGGGTTGAACTTATGTTAGATTTTTTTCATTTTAATGTAGATCTTATAAATTGTAATAAAGATTATAAACGTAAAACTGTACATAGAATTTAGCATTTGCCTCTATATGTGATTTTTTTAAACATTTGCAAATGTAGTGTCTACCATCGTCGCAAAACGGAACAAACAAAGTTTAGAAAGCAAACACGACAAATAAAAAAGTTTGAACGTACTGATGAAAAGATAAAAAGTAATAATAAGTGACCCGTTAGGTACTGAAGAATGGAAAAGTAGGAAATGATAATGTAAGAGGGCAGGTAATTTTGAATGAATACACTGTAAGGTGCAAGAAAGAAAATACAAATACGACTCAACAATGGACGGAAACTATGAACAGCCGCGTGCATTGCGAAAAGAGTGAAAGAGTTTAAATGTCTCGTTTAGAAATAGAGTATTAAATACCAAGGTTGTCTCTGAAATCTATCGAGTGAGCTAACAAACCATGGATACGAGACCTTCTACGAAAAAAAAGAAGTTTGAAAAAAATCGTAGTGGAAGTTTTTATTTCTCTTTGCAGACAAAGACGCTAACAGTTCACCGAGAAAACGTAAACTATAAAACATTCACTTGATTTTGATCGAAATGGAACATGGAGGTTAGACGACATTAAATTGTTTGTTTTAACATAAAAGAGAAATGAATGCAGCACATGTTGATGTGCAACCTTCGTCTCTGTATCGTAAACCTTGCCACACGCAAGTTGTTTGCATAGATAGCGCTTAGTGTGTACGTTCCGTTTACCGGAATAACTAAAATACTGCAGAACAACGTTCATTATCCTTCAGAGAATGAGTCACGTGTTCCAACTTCTTACTCGGCACCATTGTAATCTGATTCAGGTTCAAGTGTAGAAGGTTATGCCTGCAAATTCTTAAGTCATCAGCTGCTTTCATCGTTCACTTGGTTCGCGTTGACTCTATTACGTTAAAAAAACTGCTCTAAAAGTGTTATTTCTCTATCTATTTTTGCAAACTTGGTTGATAAAAACACCGTGACTACTCTGAAATAAATTCTAATAATACGTTGCAAATTAAGGGATTTACATAAACGCGAAGGACGCCTGTAATAGTCACTTTTCCAGATATTAGATTAGACCTCATTGCTTTTTCTAAAACAACTAATAATGAATATTTAAAACATACAGATATATTTGTTTTAAAGACCTAAATTTAAAGCAGTGTTGCCAAGCTTTGAGAAAACGAGAGGGAGGGCGAGTCAGGGACAAGAAAGAAGAATGGAGAGGGCCGCGGCAAAACACAACCTCACTTTGGTAGATGAGAAATTTCACGCTTTTCCGATTGGTAGGGGAAAGAACAATCAACGTACGGAGAGGCTGTGGTACTGAGGGAAAGGGGATTGCGTAAAGTGTGGGTTGGATGACGAGTAGCTCCGCAATTTTCTAACTGCGGAAATGAATGGATTTTCAAAATTCACGAATGTAATAATGCCAAACTGTACCGTGCTGATATTGAAAGAAGGAACTAAATTTGAATAAATGAATGTCGAGTGGTAAGTGATGGTTCACTTATTCTCGCACCATTATAGTTTACAGGTTACAGTTACATCCAGCACCAAACTTGTTTTTTAAAGTAAATATTTTCGATCGCATCGTCTAACAAAGTAATCGTTTGTCTACTACGGAGTCTTTGCTACTATTCTTACCAACAGTGCCGAAGCGCCCTGCAGTCCGTATAAGCTGATACGCTTTGGCATTGAATGTGCAACACTGCTTTATCAATGAAAACCTCGCGGAATGAAATCAGAGCAGAGGGCCTATTTTAATCAAACTGAACTTCGAGTGAAATTGTCTAGTTTAACCAACATAATATTTTTAATTACTCCAAGAACGGGAAGAGAGAGAATTACTCCAAAAAGTAAGTGATGAAGCAAGAAAGAGGCATGTCATTGTGAATGAGCTGCAAAGGCTGAGGATCTACTTAGGCTGCGTATCATTTTTTCCTCGTACTCTTCAAATGGGTAAACTTGGAAAGAATGGTCACCTGCGGTGCGCCCGTAGCCGGTGTGACAGGACTTCTTCCCTCGCAGGTCGGTGAGAGTGCGCATGGAGGACGACTTCTTGACGACGGCGACAGCATAGTACAGGCCCTGGTGCTCTCCGTACAGTTCAGTCAGCACTGGGCGCAGGTTGTATTCTCTGTGAACGAAAAAAAAAACGTTTCATAGGAACACAGAAGTTTCCTCAATTAATTACCACCCACTGAAGACCGCTTTATTCAAAAATGTAACACTTGGATTACTTTCTGGAGATGGGTTAAACAGTTAAATTTAAAATCCTAGTTCTTGAAATTATTTAAAAAAATAAATATAAAAGAGTTTATTTTTATTTAAACAATGCCTTAATAAATTGATCAGATGTATATTAAATACCTCTCATTTTGGAAAATAGGCAATGTAGTACAACCAACGTTTAGGCAAGATTGAGGGTACGATATTTAATAGTTTGAAGAACCTTCACCTAACCACATGTCTTAATATTTTTTATCGAAAAATAAAAGTTTCAAATATATTTGAGGAATTAAATATGAGGACGGGAAAAATGTAATAATATTATAGTTACACATTTGAGGTGAAGATCACTTCATTGAATAATGAATCAAGATCACAGCTCTCACATTTGTTATTCGGTCTACCGGTCCATTCTCATTATTATAATAGGATGTCTTACGACACTTATTTCGTAAAAGAATCAGTATCTACTTTCATTATCTCAAGTCATTCTTTACGAAACTGAGATTTTTGCATTATGAATTATTACATGTCTGTTCTAATAATCCATTGTTGACTATTTACTACTATCGACATTAATCTGTCACCTTTTTCAGGATGATTTGTCAAATATAAACGGTAATGATAGTAAATTGGAATATTTTACGAAGTCAATTAATCAATCAATCATGCCTTACTTTACGTAGCGAGACTCAGGCCATCAGGGCTGCTCTTCCTCCTGACCACGCAAACTTCGCTACCCAACTTCTGCCATCCAGCACGGAAAGAAGATATCACTCGGGCGACGAAATAGGTCGTTTCAATTAGCTCAGAGACTTCTTTTAGGTTTGAGGATATTTTATATGCAGTCAATCTACAACATGGGACAGCCGATTTTACTTCCCCTCCGGGGGACGGCGTATATAGGATGTATTCGTTGGCTTCCGCGGCCGGAGTCACTGGATACCTGTCTGTCCGGAATGGGTCGCGTCTCAATCGAACTCTCGTTTCGCCCATCGTGTTGTGGCTTTATTTAGAGCAATACTGTAGATAGCCCTGAAGTGCTTAATCTGCCAGCAGGATAGCTCTGTATCCGCCAAGTATCCGCGTACAAAGGAGTTTTACGAGCTTTAAAGTGGATAAAACGTTGTATGAAAAATCTAATATTTATTAATTTTTTCTGTACTTTTCGAAAATGGACGAATCTCGACTTGGAACAGTGCTGTTGGTAGTTTGGCACTCATTTAACAATTTTATTTATATATTTGTATCTATTTATTTTATTTTAATTTAATTTAAAATATTTTTTTATTTTAACCTTTGGGAACTGGAGTGTGCAGTGGGTACTCACGTGCGCGCGACGTGGGCCTCGCCGCCGTCGACGGCGATGATGTCCGCGTGTCCGTCGCGGATGGCGGCGAGGCAGGCGTGCGGGCCGCCCTCGCGCAGCTCGCAGCCGAACTCGGGCCGCACGTCGCGGGAGAAGGCGGCGGCCGCCAGCGACCGGCACTTGGCCAGCTCGGCCTGCGAGCGCACGCACACGCGCACCACGGCGCCGCCGCGCCCGCGCCCGATCACGTCCGTGTAGTTGGCTGCGGACACGCGCGCGCGCGCACACGAAGCTTAGAGCAAGGTGCTACGTCGGCAGGGAAGGAATAGGACTGTTGGCACTTGCCAGAATATACTAAGGAGTTTGTTACGTTAAAAGAGAATATGTCAAAAAATGGACTAAATGTCAACCCGGGAAACCTCTTTTTTTAAACAAGTGTTGTTGTTTTAAAGGTCGCATCAACATCTACGAGTAGGTCATTAGCGACCACTATTGGATTTAACGTTATGGTAACTATGAAGATGACACTATTTGATGATAGGGGTGTGAATGGACAACCATGCCCGAGGCGGGACTCAAACCCGCGATTCTACAGTTCGACATCACTACGACACTAGTGCCTTAACAATCTCGGCCATCCGGACGACTAAACAAGTGTTTGTAAACAGGTCCGTTTGGCCGAGATCGTTAGGCAGATGTGCTGTAGCGATCTCGGGCTGATGAATCGCGGGTTCGAGTCTCGCCTCGGGCATGGTTGTATTTGTGTTCGTCCTTTCACTCCCTATCATCACCGTATCATGTCATCTTCACAGTTACCATAGCGTTAAATTCAATTGTGGTCGCTAATGACCTAGATGTTGATGAGACCTTAAAATTAAAAAAAAGTATTTGTAAGTTCTGAATAATTCTAGAAATATGGTTTCAGACCGAATTGTTAGACTACAAGAAAACAATTGTTTTTTTAACCAACTGATGAATTCTTTTTTTTAACATTGTCTCACTGACACTCTATTAACGTAAATTTACGCATAGAATATTTTTTTTGCTTTGATTCTGAACACAAATGAAGATTGACTATGCACATGTTTTGCTGAGCTCCCCTTTTTCTAATTGGGGAGAAATGAAACGAGAGGAATATTATTTTATTATCAATACTAGAAAATAAAATTTAGTTTATTGTTCATGATTCCATTGGCAATTAGAAACATAGATTTCGAATATAAAAGATAAAATCGCCGCAAAATTCATAAGTTTATTTATAAAATGTCGATTTAAGAAGTAGCAATTTAGTTTAAAAACAAAAAAGTCAATGACTCAACGGAACAATAATAAATACTCATGAGAGAAACACTTGTTAAAATCAAAACATAAGTCTAATTGGAAGTGAAAATACGTTTTCTATTACACGAGAACAAACATTTCTAGTTTTCAAATGTTTCCAGCCATGCTCCTTGGTACCTTAATTCATAAATCAAATATGTACAGTAATCGAGAGATGTAGATATTTTGTGATTCAAGAAAATTCAATTATACTTTTTACACAAACTTCATTTTTAATTGTTAATTTACGTCTAATAATAATTGCAGTTCATTCATCTAACACAATGCGAATTTGTTTTGCGAATTCCATAGTAGGAGGCTCATTATAAAATGAAACCGCAAAGTCAGAGTATACCTTCAGATTTATTACTACCGTTTTCGAAATCAAAAATGAAGCCACGCGTGACCTTCGCAAGAAAAATGCGCTAGGGGACTCGGTCCCAACCCATGCATTCTGATATTCGATGTGCAAATCAGATTCTATGCGTCCCAAAGATTCGTTTTTCTTCATGTTTAGGTGGGATGAATGTAAGTCAAGAGAGGGGAAATATCCAAATTTTAGTAGTCTGTATCTTCAATGTTTTGGGTAATCACAGAAGACTATAAGATGCTTGTTAATATTTAATAGAAATAATTTCGTTCACGTATTATTCGCGCAGACTTCTCCAGAGTGAGGTACTTTGAAAGACATACTAACTAAATCTCTAATTCAAGCAATAAAACAATACAACATGAATGCAAATCCTATCTTCGTTTGCTTCACTACGAATGGCTCCACCACGCATCTCATATTCATGCAAATTTCTCTTGGTAAAAAGTGCCTGGTACTTCTATATTCACCAGTCCTGTAGCACCGTTGCATCTGGCTGTCGCTCTCTTAGAGATAGAAATTTCCCGCGCAAGCTCTGCGTTTAGCAGATTATCTCGTGTTTGTATCTCTGCTCGCAAGGCGTGACCATCTGGTAGGCTCCCTTGTGTTTGAAAAGAAGGTGCCAAGGATGTGTGGATACTTCCTCGTCTCGACAATAAGACTGACTTGCACGTTACGCTCCCGCTCCTCTTATTAGCATCGCTTCGTGCTTAATTATTAAATGAGCGTTGTTAAAAGTTTCTCCTCTGAGTTATGAATCATGTCTTTTACGCTTCATGTTATCTCTTAGCTTTATCATAATGAATGTTGAGTGTTCATAAGAAAAACAAACTGATAATAATATCATACACATAAGATTAGGAATACTTAATTAACAAAATCTAACGACGATTATCAATGACAAACTTAACAAATTATCGCCAAGAATGCAAATGTTTCCCGAATATTAAAATTATCTGAATACTGATTCTAAATATTTATTAGCAATTGTGATATTATTCGCCCAAAACCTGAGTTTGAGAATTTTAACTGATCCTTAACTTCTCGTTGTATCCCGGATCATATTAAAGAAATAATTTTACAGAAAACCTTTCATTCTGAAGAACTAAATTTTTTTAATAATAAACTGCTAATTCTATTTATTGTAGGCTATCGAATATCTCGTGTGCTTTTCCCTTCAATATCTAAATATGATAACATTAGTGAAATGCAATGAAACTTAATCAACCTTTGCACATTGATAGTGTATCCTAAGGTTAAAAAAAGAGATGGCAGCCCTTATTTTATTCTGTATGGGATATCTTCGTTAAAGTATACTCTAGAGTTTAAAAATAGTTTTGGAATTTTACAGAACGCTTCCTCGTAGTCTACAAAGTTGGCTAATTTGAGGTGCAAACAAGAAAACCTAGAATTCAGAGATAATGAGGGTCACTTCAGAGAATAATTTAAGTATTGTTCGATGAAATGGACAGCTGCAAGACTCTTTTCAAGAATCGAAGTATGAGGGAGTTCCGCAACGTCTGTGGCGGCCGAACTTACGAAATTACACAGCACCACACTGGTTACGAAAATGACTTCCGGGTCTACAGCGGCGCTTTGAGCTTGAAAAATAGCACGTTTCGACGAGAGAGACATCGCGACTAAATTGAAAAATTACTAAAAGTACGGTTTTACAACGTATTACGTACAGTTTTCTTAAAGAACCTCCTATTTTCGGTATTCTCGTATTGCACGTACCAGACGTCTCTATACTTGACGTTTAAGGACAACGTGATACCGACAGTGATATCCTCGTCAGAAGCAACAGCTAATCCGAATTTTTTTGCCAACTCGAAATGAATAAATGAAGGAGGTAGAGCATCATACCAACAGAGAGCTTCTGCCTCGCATTTGTTATGCGCAACTTCAAAATTTCACCTCATTAACAGAATCCAGCCAGTATTGGGCTGACAAATATGCGACTGTAAACTGGTGTTCGCTTTGGCTTTCTCACGAAAGCTCATGCAGCACGCATGTGATGTAGCGAAGGAAGTCAACCTCTGCTGCGTCCTCTCAAACACAAAGACCTTTGACATAATGTATACGTACTGTATGCATACGCTATACATTTTCATGGCAACAAAATTCCTACTGAAAAATTATTTAACATTCCGACCCCATTCCATTCTACATTCTGTATATAATATTTGCATGAACTTATCCCTAACTGTTTATTCCAATAATTTATTTCGTATTTTAGTCCTGAGGATGATCGCTCCGCGATCGAAACTATCATCAACCAAATAAATTGTTGATACCAGAGTAGAAGGTCTCTACGTCATCAGCGATCTAATTAATAATTCCGACCCGCAAAATGTTAACTTCATCGCCTTTGGATGCCTATTTTAAGAGGCATTTCCCATTAAACCTCGAACCGAGCTGAGCTGCCAGGGAGGGGCGGCCACTCACCTTTGTCGAGGTACTGCAGCGGCGAGACGGGGGGCTGCGGGGCGCTCACGAGCACCGTCTTGTCCTTGATGACGGTGAGCACGCTCTTGAGCCACTCGGCGTTCGGCGGCCGGCGCCGGCTGCGACAGGCCTGGTCCAGCACACGGCGCACGTCGTCCACCTCGCTGCCGACAGCGCACCCGCACAAATAAGCGCACCCGCCGCACAAATGAAGCGCACCCACACAAATGAAGCGCACCACAAACACGTGACGCTCGGTTGCTTTCAATATACAGGGTATAGAGGAGGAAAGTCGTCGAAAATTATGATCTTCAGACAATTTTAAGCTATTTTGTCTATAACCTACGGAATATCCCTCTAGTCATTAGACAAAAGGCGAGGCTGGCCAGCACGCGGTGCACGTCGTCCACCTCGCTGCCGACAGCGCCACCCACACAAATGAAGCGCACCCACAAACACGTGACGCTCGTTGCTTTCAATATACAGGGTATCGGAGGAGGAAAGGTCGAAAATATGATCTTCAGACAATTTTAAGCATATTTGTCTAATAACCTACTGGAATATCCCTCTAGTTCATTAGACAAAAAGGCGAGGCCTGGTCCAGCATGCGGCGCACCTCGTCCACCTCGCTGCCGACAGCGCACCCACACAAATGAAGCGCACCCACAAACACGTGACGCTCGTTATTTTAAATATACAGGGGAGGAAACGTCGAAACTTCGAAAACAAGCTCTTAAGACAATGTTTAAGCATATTTTGTCTAATTAACTATTGGGATATTTCAAATGGTTGTGCCGCAATATTCACTCTAAAGTTGGTTAGAGAAAACTCTTTCTAGGCAGAAAGTTGCATACCAGAAGCATAGAAACACTTAAGATACATGTAAAGTGTTTATTATTTACAAAAGAAATGAAATGAAAAGAAAAGAATATATTTGTCCAGAAAGAAAAATTGACCGACAAAAAAACGGCGAGGCCTGGTCCAGCACGCGATGCACGTCGTCCACCTCGCTGCCGACAGCACACCCGCACAAATGAAGCGCACCCACAAACACGTGATGCTTTTTACTTTCAGTATACAGGTGACCGGGGAGGAAACGTCGAAACGTCGAAATGAAGCTCTTAAGACAATTTTTAAGCATATTTTGTCTAATAAAATACTGGGATATTCCGAATGGTTGTGCCGCAATATTCACTCAAAGGTTGGTTAGAGAAAACTCTTTCTAGGCAGAAAGTTGCATACCGGAAGCATAGAAAAACTTCAGAAACATGTGAATGGTTTAGACAAAATAGGGTTAAAATTGTCTTAAGAGCTTCTTTTCGAAGTTTCGACGTTTCCTCCTCGGACATTTGTATATGAAGTAAGAATGCATATAATTATGTATGTAGTAAGTTTTGTGTGTAATATGCATGTATGAGTGTGTATATGTAGTACGTTTGTAGAATTCTGTTTGTTGTATGAATGTATGTATGTATGTATGTATGTATGTATGTATGTTCTTTGGCAGTACAGGCTCGTGAGAGTAAGGCGCCCCTTTCTAACGGGCATAGTGCGGTGGCTAGCGTGTGGTAAGGAGGTTGCAGCCTCTTACGCCCTTTCTTTGGCTCTCTACATGCGAGAAGCTTTCGCTTTGTCAACCAGCTACATGAATATGGCAGTGACATGATAGAAACAAGCGACAATTTTAATTTTTGTCCCATCCATGAGTCGAACCCGGGACTGCGGCATGGAAAGTTAGCTCGCTAGCCACCGCGGGATTTCAGTGCGTAAATTTTATGAAATAATTATATGTGTCGTCATTGCCAACAATATTATTTATTAAAAAAGCATCTTTCGATGGCTTAGCCATCATCATCAGTTTTCTGCTGTATGGAAGCCACAAAAACGATATATATTATAACTTACTAAATTATTATAATTTTTGTAATATATATTAACGTATATTTTAACTCACTGAACAACGTAAAATTAAAACAACGATTATTTATTCGTATTTCTGTTGGTATTAGTTTTTCTAACAGAAATAGTGTGGATTTAAAGACTCTTCCAGTGTTTGAAAACAAATTTAAAATGCGTTGATTGGTAAAAGTATTTTAAAGAAATCACGAAACAGCATACCATTTTAAATCATATTTAAAATATCATTTTTAAATTCTGTACATTTTGAGACGTGCCGACTTGGTTCTGGAGTAGAAAGAATCACACCAAGAATAGCATTTTTGTTTTCATACTTAAAAAACTGAAAATAAACAAGAAGAAGAATTTTGTGAAGTGTGCTTGTATGATCGAGTGTGTGCGTATTAAAAATCACCAAACAGTACATCTCAAATATTATAGGGCAAACAACAAATAACAAAATACCTTTACCTACAAGAAACGGGATATCGTAGTGCCGCCTCATATTCCATCTACTTTCCATACAACCGCCTCACAAAAGGAGAGTTCTAAACTGTTTCTCATAAAGCAAATCCCTTTCACCCCGGAACTCTCGCTGTGTAGCGGCTTCCATGTTTTCCGATTAATAAGCGTAACTTCTGTTATTGGAAAAGTTTTTATTAAATTGGTGATCTTGTTTTACCTTTCGCAATCACCACCTCAGGCTCCTGTTATTTACATTCCAAAATGCGATATAACTCTTTTAGGTGCGGGGAGTCCTATATTTAGAAAAGAATATTTGTTCATCAGGGAAGTGCTGAAGGCTATATTTGAGGTTGCCTTTAAACACGGAAGAGTGAGTAAGTTCGTTACTAACTTTCAAACTCTTCAGTGACCTGAAGCAACTCGCTATTTTCTTGTACGAAAAATTATAAATAGAAATTACGAGAGAAACTTTTGTTTTTGTACACAATTTACTGTTCATTTCATGTACACATTTTAGATAGAATAAAGAGACTGTATCCCTGCGACAATGTAAAATTAACAAAAAATTTCCATTATTTAAAAGTTAATATCATTATATTCGAATTCAATTCGTGAACAGTTAATGAAAACAACCGAATTCAACAACCTGAAATCACATTTTGATTTGACTTTTGAAATAAAATATTACGGAAAATAAACAAAAGCCTGTAAACATACGCTGATTTAGGATCCTTACATAGTAATGTAGTAAGTACTGTTTCTCGAACATAATTTTGAAGTTCATGATCTCCTTTGTTAGTAGCGGATGCGACCTTCACGTAGGCTTTCAGGGATATTCCTCCAGGTATCTTCCCCAGAGGGACACCTCCCCCAATCGGCCCAACCTCTAAACTGCCGACTGGCCTCCCATCATGTGTAGTGCAAGTGGAGAGGAAAGAAAAATGGCGCGCATTCCATGGACAGTTTGTTATGGTATTGCTTCGGCATTCGCCTGGTATTGATCATAGAATTCACGGAAAACTACCGTTCCGAACAGCAGAGTGCTAGAATGCTCCTAGAGGCAGCGGTTGAATTCTGTCAAACTACTTAGCTGGTGTTGACTTGACAAACTACTTAGCTAGTGTTGAACATTTACCATCTTCGGAATTCAAATCTCGAACCCCCTGGTTAGACCACTGCAGAGTCAACGGCTCTGAGCTAAACTCGTCCGATTTTACAGATCGAAGTTCTGTTCGCTTCCATTACGGAAACTTTGTTGATCATTCAGCCTTTTGGCTGCTTTTTGGTTTTCGCCACTTCAGCCCAATTTAATGAATAAGTAAACAGTAATGGGAATGAAATATATGACAGTTTGTCCTTGCCTTCCGTGACTTAACGCATCGTGGAAACATCCAAGCCCCAACCGAGAGATTCAAGCTCGTTACTCGTTCCGCACAGACTCGTTATCGCATTGCTGACAAGACTTCCAACGAATAAGGTCTTAGGGGATTCGTGTTAGACCGAATACATTTCTATTCCCCGTTCTCAAATTATTTGGTTAAGTCCATGCGACATGAATTGATTGCAAAAAGATTAAAACTTCTCTCACTGAGCCATGTTTTTATGATATAGTTTTGATTTATTTGAGATAGATATTTGAGATAGATAAAAGAACACAATAAAGAAGTATAAAAGAACTCAATTGCATAATTTGCATTAGTGATGTTAGTTTTGATTTAACATGAAACTATCAGCAACAGGTTACATACGCCCATTTCTTCGGAAACGGGGTTTCATACCTCGCTACTGATGTTCCTGTCTTAGAGTGAATCCGAAGTAGTTTCTTGTTCATAAACAGGACTTCATGTATATAAAATAAAGAAGTGTTTCTACATACATATTGAATGTCTCAGTTTTTAACCGAATAATTGCGAGCCCATTTAATACTGTGCTTCCGACTTATATGATGGGCTGCGTTCGCGATTCTGCGAAAGATGCTATGCAACCGAGCCTGCTCTCTAGTGATGTTGAAAAGATTTGGTCTTAAGCAACCGTTTTCGCATGAACGCGAAGTCGTCTAAATACTGACGCACGTGATCGTATCTCAAAAAAAACTAGATGGACCGAAAAATTTGAAGATTCACTACAATTACGGTGTACTTCAATTATTGACTCGGAGGGAGAATTACTGGAAGTGAGAAACCGTCTGGAATGGAAAATCATTTAAACTCGTTCTGTCTGAATGGAAAATCATCAGGAATACATAAAATAAAAAATATGAAACATTAATATCCAGACAGATCGTAAGACATTTGAATTCCTTTATCTGATTTTTAGCTGGAGAATCTTGTTACAAGAAATTTTAATAATTCGAAAAAGCGAATTCGCATCTTCACGTTTTGAATTTAATTTAATGCGTGTCCATTGCAGCTGAGTGCAGAGTTCGTACCTGGTGATGTCTCCGTTGGCGATGAAGCCCTGCCAGGGGCGGGCGGCCCAGCGGCAGGCGGGGCCCAGGATGGGCCTCTTGGAGCCGTCGGGGCACAAGTAGGCGTAGTCGTTGGGGTTGTAGCGGGTCGCGTTCGTCACTTCCAGGGCGCCGCCCACGGGGATCTGCAAACAAAGAAGAAACGTGTTTTAATAAGATCTTGGTGAATGCATATGAGATTAATTAACCTCGCTATCTGATGCGTGCGGTGAATGGAACTAATCGGTTAAAATCGCGGATATTTTAAAAATTAATTTATAAAATTGCACACATGGTATGGCCAACGTTAAAATAGGTAATGCTATATTTCCGTAGTAACAAACCATACTTTTTAGATACAAATTTCTGAAATAATTTATTTTTGTGAACATAATTTTTCCTATCTGCTGCTGCAATTGTAAATTCCTTTTGCCCTCTACGACCCTATTAAAAACTGATTTACAGACATACTGTTACTCAGTAAATCTTAATTCTAACTCACGTTCGTTTCCAGCTTAAGCAATATCATACACTAAAAGGCTTCAACAGGATCTCTTCGAAAATCACATGAAAATCATCTTTACTATATTCTACAAAAAATTCGACTACGGAGTTAAAAATGGAATGAAACAGTGTTAAGTCAATGCTAAAGAAAGTAAAAAAATACTGAAAACACTGTAAAGCAACTCTTTGTTCTAAGATAATTATTCGTTATGGCTTTTATATTTCCGATAATTACGATGACCAAAAATGTTAACGTATAAACACACTTCCTCCACAAAATTCGCTATCAAAACAAAACGTGGGAAAGCGACACCGTTATGCATAGTGCACTGGGATACAACTAAACCAAAGAGAAGAATGCACGTAGGTGAAAAGTATGACGAAAAGACAAGGGTGAGCTACTCCGAAGCACCGATTTTTGCTCGTTCTGCACTACCCACTTTACGTCATGTACCACGTGACCACAATACGGGCACTTCGTTTGATAAATCAGACGAGATGCTGGCCGCCATGTTGAATGGGGAGCGAGAAGTTGAGAAACATTTTGATAGTGGCTTAAATTGACAATTTTATCGGTGACCAACCACAAATAACCAAATAGAGGTGTAATTGAAATAAAAGATGCAATATTTTTTTTATAAAACGCTTAATGTGTCAGTATCAATCACTTCTGAAACAAGGTGATGATTTTGTTATCTGACTGCATTTAAAATTCCCGCTAATATTGTGTCGCAAACATGTGCGTGAAGCTCATTGGCTGAAGTCGGATATGGTGCGCAATAGCTCACAGTGTCTTCCCATCATGGGCGAAAAGAATAAATCGTAGGCGCTCACCCCGAAGTGCTGCTTGACGTAGATGACCTTGGTCCAGGCGACCTGGCCGCCGCCGTCGGACAGGCACCGCAGGGCGCCGTCGTAGCCGGAGAATTTGTCCGGGTAGTTGCACACGTCCGGGTGCTCGCACAGGGCGCACAGGTTGCTGTACGTGTTCTCTGCAAGCGCCACCAACACAACGTAAGACTTGGTTTTATTCCATTGAAAATCGCAAATCACAAACAATATAAACGTATTTGACAATCAATTGGCGTATTGAATCTGGATTTTTATTTTTTGTGGTACGTTTTTCAAAATTTGTTTGTAAGCTTTAAAAAAGAATTGTCACGTATAGAGCTTATAAGCTTATATCATGTCACACTTCAAAACATATAAATATAGTTATCTATTTGAATTTTTTACTTATGACAAATAGGCAAACAATTGTAATGATGCAGAAAAAATGATTTCTTATATAAAACAAGTAGTGGACTTCTAATACCAAAAAGCGAATAAATCTCGGTACTATAGTAAATTACTTCCTGTAATATGTTACGTAGTTAGAATTCATGTTTTGAGGGTTTTTGTTTACGGCAAACCCCTGTCTATCTGTCCGCAGCAAATTTGAATTTCGTTTGTTTTGCCGAAGAGCCCTTCATGAGACAGCTCAAAAGTTAGTTTGATTCAATTTGCAAGAGTATAATATATTACGAATCTGTTACATTAAAAAACAATAAATTAGATACTAAAGAAAATAGAAAAAAAATACGAATGTAGATATTTTGATAATAATCGCGTCTGCGCCCATATCAGGCCACAATACGAAAATGGCAACTCAACAACACCGCAGTTTGAGAAGTGATGTTATGAATGTCGTTGTTACCGGTACTTTTTTTTCGGTCTTAGGATATCAGTTTTGAATTTTTGTTTATGTACGTTTTAAAAATTAGTTTTGTGAAAAAATATTTTAAATGATAAATGACAATTGGACTTGATTTTCGTAGATTCACATGTTCATATATCCTTCTATAGATTCGTAATATTTCTATAGTTGTGAGTTCTCGAAGCAAACTTATGGAAATTATTCTTACTTGTCTGTGCAATATCCAATTATGATTTGTTTGTTCTTGTAGATGGGTAAGAAATAGTAACTGTTTCTCACGGCTGATATATTTGTAGTTTCGCACTTCAATTTCGGTAAGAAGATTTTTAAGTGATGGCTGAAATGTATTAGTGCGGACAGAAACCACAGTATTGTAATATTACTAAATAGTTACTAATGCGAGAAAGTAGTTTCTGTTCTAACTCCACTAGTTCGAAGCTGTGTGATGAAATCTCGTGTTTTATTGAATGGAAAGTAGCAAGTTCAAAAATTATTCACTGATATTTCTAAGAATTCCATAATTTTGTAATTATTAATTTAATATTGTATTATGAATCTAGATAAATATTTCTTTGAACACATCCAACAACAAACGCATTATATTTATACTGCCAAATGTGTCGCCCCTTCGGAGATGCGTGTATGCAATACATGTGTGTCAAGAGTGCTGCCTATCCAAACTATCTCACGGCGCTTTCGTGTTCAAGTAGATAGAACTGGGCGTAGACATGTAATAAAGCTCGAACATTTAACGTCATTATTCTCATTTTTAAAATGGCTCACGGAAGTTAGTGTATGCATACGATATACTTCATTTCGGGCTATACTTTTGTAAATAAAGCGTTATCGTTTATGAAAGTAGGAGGCAAAAGAAGAAAAAAAACTTTTTGAATTTATTATTGTATTCATAGTCCTTTCAAAATCTGTCTCACATTTTTTTCAAATATTCCTGCATTAATTTTTATCATCGATATCATTTTGCGTAATATAATAGACGTTGGGTTCCCTCCACAACAATTAATAAATAATTTTGGACATATTTCCATATGATGCAGTTGAATCATTCTTCCCGTAAAATGCGAAAACAAAAACAATTACTTGGAGGGGCTAAGAATGGTAAGATGAGGTGGACACGCCATAGAACTTTCATTCCAAATATTTCTGTTGCCGAGTAATATAACTAGTCCTGTGAGAGCCAGCGTTAAGTGGTCTGCCGTATTTAAAGTACCCTTTAACAGGTACTTTTTGCACAGCGCATTGTACAGCAATCTCTCGACCATTCTGTACCAATTGTTTGCATCTGCCCAGGCGCAACTCAAACTGTACATACACAGAGGCGCTCCAAATTGTTGTCGATTGCTATAAAAAGTTCCTTACAATATGACTTTTTGTTCAGCGTAGCGTACAACTCTCCACAATACTCTTTTGACCACTCTATACCATTTTTAAGCATCTGCTCATGCGTAGAGGCCCGAGATTGCAGACAAAAAAATCTTATTTCCATGACTGCTGCTACTTACTGAGCCTGCGGTCGGCGGCGGCGTCGGATGACCAGTCGCCTACGAGGCACGCGTGGCTGAAGAGCTGCGAGAGCGCGCGCAGCTCTATCTCGCGCGCAGTCAGCAGAGAGTCGTTCTGCAGCCGCAACACGCCCAGTTTCGTCAACTGCGGACAGAGAGCGCGCTTAGCGTCGGCCGCGCCGCGCGGCGGCCACGGTATGAACTGAGGAATGGGGCAGGAGGATATTCGTTTGGATGAAGCCCACGAGGTTCGCACTGGAACTTACGTGACATGATCAGGTTTACGCGAAAGTGAGGCGGGATAGGGTTAGTTCCGTGCGTATTTATAAAGTGAAATATATTTTTGCTTCCGTTGAATACTATGTATTATTTACGGATCCAGTCCATCTCTTTCGGGGGAATTTATAACAGTCATTTCTAAACAAGCATGATTTCAGATTTGATACATTGCTTGTTCTGTTAATACATTAACTTTATTTATTGTCCCACTTTCATGCACTCGTTTTAAACTAATGTAAATTTTCCCACATAGTTACAGATGTTGATAATTGATTAAAAACGCTAAATTATTCGTTCCTGTCACGTACAGTGCCCTAAAGAGATCAGCATAATAGGCTGTACTGCGTAATAAGAAGGACAATTATGTAGGGAAAATGAGTCGAACTACTTGGCAGAGACCCTTTGAGTTTCCAGAAGAAATAATTAGAAAAGTTCAGAATAGACGATCGACTCCAAAATGCAAAACTGTTTCTAATGGAAAGCATTTAGGTGAGAACTCGAGCACTTCTCGGATTTCGAATTTATTCAAGAATCACGTTCTATTTTTTTTAGTTTTGAATCATGTCACTGACGTATACGCGTAAAAAAGATCTACAAGTCCCCCAAAAACTGAAAACAACCTCCTCATTGAATGCTACCCAATAGTCCCTGGCCTGACACAATCAATTCCAGTTAGAAATACAAGAACGTTAACGAACTACGAGGCTTTTCTTCAAAATTATTGAACTAATATTTAACATTGCCCTTGTTTTTCTTACATTTATTGTGTTTGTGTTTTGTATGGTTTAACGGTTAACCAAAGGCGAGCGAGGAAAACGTTAAGTCTACATCGGTATTCGAAAGTTGTCGTCCTCGGTTACTGTACACAACCCTGAGAAACGGGCAAGAGTCTCAGTACAATAATAGTTTCACTGAGACTCCAGTGATTATGTGGGGAGGAGAATTGCTGATTCGATAATTTTAACGCAGATTAATGCGTTTTTCTAATGAGACGACTGCATAATTGTGATATAACTTATCTTTGAAATGGTCAAGGTTTTTGAAGCTACTCAACCTTGACATTGGAAACATTATCTAGCGACCATTCTCTCTTGCTTCTAGGACGCTTCTTGGAAAGTTGTAGAACGGATCTGATGAACCTTAGAGAACTGGAGTTAACGCGTTTATCAGAAGCATATGTTTGTTTCATAATTCCTTAAAATACACTGTACGAATAGTTGATAACTCTGAATGAGGCAGCTCGAGAATACAATCATGCGTGACCTGTTATCAGCAATGGGATGTGATAGGAAGTAATCTATAGGCACTCCCTCCAAATGATCGGTCATTGTAATGACCTTGACCGCGAATATAAGAAAGAAGATCAGAAAGTTAAATTTCATGGCAAGGGACCATTTTCGAGATGCTTTGGAAAATGTTTTGTGCAATGTGTGTGACGAATACGCTCAATATACTAAGAAACAAAGATGTCCTCATTTGTTATATTTTCTTATTTTCTTTGTAGGAGCGCAAAATTGCACAGAATTTTAGAATTTTTCAGAATTTAGAATTTTGACGGGCGCGAAAATAAGAGAACAATTTGGTTTTAATTTGTGAATCCTGTGAAGTCATATGCTTTCCTGTAATTATGCTTCTTGCAGTTGATAGAGACAGATGCAGCTTAGGGA